GCATTGTTCTTCCGACATCTGATTTCTTTTTAATTATGGGAAATGCATTTTTCTAAAGTACATAAACTTTTGGGGTTGATTGTATAGCCAATACATCCTTAAGGCATTAAGAAATTTGCTCGCGCCGAACGTGGTCCCACGTATTACACTGAAACGGTGGCAACGAGCGCGGAACACCGCAAATCGCCGCGTGTCGCAATCAAACTTCTACCTGCGAACCGAGCCGACCGATCAATTTATTTATGCCGTTCAAACAGATTAATTCTGTCATTATTGACTCTAAATCATTTCCCTGTGGTATTATAGAGGTGTAGTCGATTGAACGTAAAAGTTGAAATCGAACCTGTGTCGTCATCAACGTTGGAAGGATAAAACTGAGAACTGAAGTTCTAAATTTATAATTGAAAATCTGATATTAAAATTGCAAGGAATCTGAAGAAGTGCAAACAATCATTGAGGAATAGAAATGATGCACGAACGGTAGAGAATGATGTGGATGAATAATAATCAGAGATCTGTCAATAACTCATAAAGACGGCGAATATTGTTTATATCCATAAAATAGCTGATTCATTGTTCATGAAAAATGAAGTAGACTAATCAAAAAGAGTACGATCTTCCTTTTGTAAATTCTAGGAACGTTTCAACCTCGTCGGATGAAGGTCAATGCCCATCAAATTCTTCTTGCGCTCTCAAACTTATTTCCGCGGTGATACGATTCCTTTAAAAAAAAAACTTTACTACGTGAAAGAATTAACGATTTTTTATAATAATTAAATGGTTAATGAAAAGTAATTTATACATTTTGTTTTGAAATGGATCTAGTATATGATGTAATCGAATTCGCTGTCATGAATCTTGTTTTCGATGATGCACTGCCTGTAAGCGAGCCCCGAGAGTAATTACACTAATACACTATATTTATGCATCTTGTTAATAACAATAAGATACTTGAATCACCTTGAGCTGGGTTCAAAGTGACACCAGCGTGCAGCATATCGATTCTCCAGGCGATAATTGCACCTTAGCGTAAAGATTCTTCCACGTGCATGATCTGAATATTGTAACGTTATACATATATATAACAGAAACATATGTAATTTGTACTGATTAATTATAGACGTATAAGTACGAGAATTATATAGATATATTCGAGTTTGCTAATTCACACGACTATCTATGGCTGCCCTATTTAATTCACGATTGAAAATTACATGTAGTAAAAATTGAATCAAATTTTTGCATATATATTGCATAAATAATTGAAATAATTCTCGACTAGCAATCATGGAAATAACAATCTTCCATTCTTGCGTACACTCATGTATCACCCAGATACGCATTGCGTATTAAAATTCATGGCTCGTGACTCACAATTCACTGATTCATTCATCGCGCGTTGCTGTAACGTTGCTAGAAAATTGGAATCAATTTTGAAACAATAACAAAATTTAAAAAAGAAAAATAAGAAAGATAATAAAGGAAGAGGGGAAAATGTAGTTTGCTAATAATCGTTGGTAAACCGTCGACCTGATTTCTATTCCAATTTCACTTAATTTGTTCGAAGCATTTCCTGCGATGTTTGCATTTTGAAACCGGCTTTGTGCAATTCGGATCCGCGTAATAGTTAAATCGCTGAATAATGATCTAACGAATTTCTCAGTGACTTTAACGCGTGAATAGAAGAGCTACGCGCGCGTACCATTTACATAATATTGTCACTTGGGACTACGCACTCCCTGTGCAAATACATATTGAATTCTCAGATACGCGTACCTACCTGTTATGATAATTTTTTTACGAGCACATTTACGACTTGTTTTTCAAGGGCTCTCGTGCATACAACTATTCAGCTCCACATTTCACTCTTTCATAAAAAAGAAATCAACAGGATAATGTATCTTTGTTTCCAATATTAAGAACAATTTTTCTGTAATATGAATAGCACACAAAATTTTATAAAATCATCCATTAAAATTCCGCATTGTAAATCGTCACTAATTGGTCCCAGAGTGAATGCATTAGTATTTTAACTATTCTGACGCACAAGCAAAATTTCATCCAAACAGGTTCCAAGGTTGTCTACCTGCATAGGTCATCTCAGCGAACACCATTGAAATCTCTTCAGGGAATCCCAGCAGTTTTAGCAACAGGAAAAAAAGCGAAACCTGTTCCAGCTCCTGATATCTGCTCCAGAAAACATTTTACGCAGGTCATTTTATTTCCAGCAGCTGAAGTCGTTATTTAATTGACGAGACTTCTCAGTCTCGACGATCTCGGCAGAGAAGTCCCTTGGTAAACTGTGAGGCTCGACCCGCGAATATATACGACGAACGTGTGTTTATAATAGTGAAGGCCCACCATTTTGCCCCCACTGCAAAGTCTGGCCGTTGCCGCGGCGGTGAACACAACTTCGACAAGCCGTATTGCACAAGCATTTGATTCTCTATCCTGTGGCAAGCCAACTCAGTTCTCAGTGGCACCGCGGTCAGGTCACTTCGCCACCGCGTCACCTGTTTCTCAACCCGTTTCTCTCCAGTGTGTTCAGTGTTTACTCGACAATTCTTAAATAACTGTTGCCGTCAGGAATTTAAAAACAGTATAACAAGAAGAGCGTCGTTAATCTGCTTGAAAATTTGCACACAAGAAGACGGTGAGTCTGCGGAACGAAACAGAAGAGTGAAATTAAAAAACCAGTCTGCATAATTAATTTTCGTATTAAGAGTGATCGATGCGAGTAGATTGAGGCACTCGATTGACGATTACGGGACCAACAGATATCGTGCGATGTAACTGAGTCGAAGGATTTATTTGACGTTCGTTCCTCGCTGCTGAGGAAACTGGTGCTCGTTGTTTCCGAAGACCGCGTCGCAGGTCAGTACACGCATGATTTATAAGAATGATGAGTGAATTAATTTAGCGAACTTGTTCACGAAAACTTTCATTATTTAATGAATTTATTTTGTCAAATAAGAAATCAAACCGTGGTAGAATTGCACCTTTACTTGTTTATATACTCATCGGTAATTGAGTAACACTTTGGTCCGCGTGGTAAGTAATGCAACTGTTGCAACAATTGTTACACGTCGATGTTACAACCTCGAACGCGAACGGAAATTTTTGGAACTTCCGATGGAAATAAAAATGATGTAAACGCGAAATTTTATTTTAATATTATGCAGTATATCTGAGTTCACAGTTTCAACTTGGCGTTGCATAATTTATTACTTTTTAGTGTGTACGAGCTGAATGACTCATGAAAGCATGTAGCAAAATTGAATTAGTGTTATTTAATAGATTCAGTGTACTTTAAACTTTCGAAACACGCGCGATTAGATCGTGGAAGGATTACGATTTAGAACTTAGAAAATACTTTAAACTTAACTCAGCTTCTACTGTTTCAAGAAGAAAATCACCATTTCAAATTGCGTTCTGATTGCTACGTGACCTAATTTCCTCTATATCTTATCCTGCAATGTCGCAGAATTCCTTGAACCATTACCGTACTATGCAAATTCATCGCGTCTTCAGTATATTTGAAATCATTTATATGACTCGTCCAACAACTTCCTGTATTTAATTATTACCTCGTGAGGAATGATGAATCTTTCAATGATACGATCAAACTGCCATAAAAATAGGATTATTATTAATGACAATTCGATTTTTGTCTCAAACTTTCCCATAAGGAAAGTGCTCCTAATAATCATTGTCATTAATTTATAATTAATATTTCCTTTGTTATAAAGTCGTGAAATGAATATCGTTGAATCGATGACAAAGTTTTGTAAACTTTCCACGAGGGTAGGAAGCCGTTCCTCGTGTTGGTGAACAATTCAAGGATATCCGGATTCGAGGCTTGCGAAACCAGTAAATATTTTATGTGCAACCATTTTGCAGTCGTCAATATTCAATCGTCAATATCAACCCCAGCGAAACTGGCAATGAATTATTTTTACAACTTAACTATAAACATAACAAATAAAATTTCTGAAACTGAATACGATAAACATTTTTCATACACGTAGTATATTCACGCTTAATAAGATAATTTCTGAGCTATTTTTATAACGCTTACGTTTAATTACTTTCCTTTTCTTTGGACTTTCGCACGACTACTGACTCTTTCAATGAACTTGCACACCGGCCTCCAGCCTACAAGGAAATCGAGACTATTTATCAGACACATCGCCTTTCACGTTTTCTTACGTTCTTCCACGCACAATTCGCAAGCCACTCATTCTTCGCATAGCTTCTGGAAATGATCTTACGTGTATAAATGTTGATACGAATAGAAGCTTCTGTAATCATTTATAAATACTTTTTAAGTCAGATTTCGTGCAATCGATTTCTCTTTGACGAAGTATCAAAGTCGAAAACTGTAACCGGGTTATGTCATGTACGTCGATTCCTAGTGATTTAACGAGGTCAATTTTTATGAATTTCACGATGATCATAATCTTATGATTTGCTGTTCGTGTTGCACGTATCTAGTAAATCTGCTAAGAGAAAAAGCGATGATCTGGCGGAATCAAGTTGTTGCGCAAACCTCGTGTCCTGCTATAATATAATTTGAATGCTATTTGATTAAACAGAACGTAGAAGGAAAAAGAAAGTGAACCTGCTTTTCGACAGTACAAAAAGTACAGAAACGTCATGATTGAAATTCAATAAATACGCAGTTACTTAAATTGAAATTTAATTATTTATGAAAAAATGATTTAATCTTAAATCTTATCTATCCTAACGTCGACCACATGCTAGATCGTTTAAAGTCATACACGTTTCTCTGTTTTAAAAAATCCTTATAAATTCTTAAATGTCATTCAATACATTTTAATGTCACATATTGCCTCAACTTTGCAAAACGAGATTTCAAAGATACAAGAAATATGAAACACAGTCTGGATTGAGAACCTCCCAGTATACAGACTGACAATTAATTTAAAAACGATTTACACGACAGAAAGAGTATATACGAGAAGAAATTATAGAAGGCTACATGAGTCAGACTACTTCTGCTCTACATATACTCAATTATCCGAGAAATACTCGTCCTTGAAAAGATTCGTTCGATCAAACCTAGACCAGCTCTCAAGCTCGAAACTGTGAAACAAGGTCGAACATCTTTTTACGAGGAAAGTGGGAGAAAAATGAAAGAGAAAGACTCAGGAGCGCGGGTAGATGAACCGACCGAGTGACCGGTGAATCGAACGTCACGGTTGGTAACTAGAACCGATTCCACGTGTTTGTAACTCGCTTCCCCCGACTGGATGGACCAGATAGGTGAGAGTGAGTCTGTTACAATCGTTACATCACTGGGGAATTACACGCGACAGACGCTCGATTACGTATGAACCTTCGTCCTTCGTCGTCGTGTTTCTACGCAAGATTTTTTAAGACAATCTTCGACGATAAGTCATGTAACATAATGGACGAGTGTATCAAGCGCTTATTTATCAAATACGTATAAGTGTAATTGACAGCCAATTTTGGATAAGGAAAATGATTTTCGTTTGAATGACTTCTTTTAATTTGAAATTTAATGACACCTCGTTTTATGTATTTGGAATTGAGATGCAATTTACGACAATTTCGAATTATTTTTTTATTATCACAGAAATGGAGACCGCCAGTTCCCCGTCAGTTGCACCGACAGCCTCCTTGGAACTGAAAACGCGCAGAGCGCAGTTCCAGACGCAAGCCTCCACTTTGGACACGAGAAGGAGACAGGCGGTGTGCGTGAGGAGGGCATTTAAAAAATATGGTCCCAAAAGTAATACGAATATTATTTTGGATGGGCTAAACATGACCGTGCCGAAAGGCGCGATGTAAGTTCTGTCAATTTCTTTTCATGCTACTTCACAATTCGTTTCAAATCGCTAATAAGACGAGATAATATCTAACTTCCTGCGTTATTTCGATCTCACGTAATTCTGATTAACGCGCGTACGTAAGTTCCTGATAAAAATCAGCGATAGATCAACATTACCTTTTTTTAAGCGAAACAGATACTCAAATGGTGTAGCAGACTTTGCCCGGAGGTACTTAAAAGTCGTTTTGACCTTTAATCGCGAATAATTAACGTAAAAAGTTTTACAAAAAGTATGAATTTCATTATTCACGTTTTTCTTGTCTAACAAATTTATATTACTTACGAATTCACACAATCGTACTAACGCTCATTGATCTTTCGTACTTGAAGACTAACCCGACCGTGTTCTTTCTTTTCTTCTCCACGTATCAAACGTGTCACGTATTCCCGGTAACGTGTCGATTAACAAGCTTTTTCAGCCGGCGGTTCTATAATGAATGCTGCTGTATTAAAAGCAATTTTTTTCCATATCATTGATGGCAACGCTTGAAATAACCATTGGAGTAAAAACTGTATTTATTCAATCGGGGCCTTTGTGTACTGGCGGAAGTTTATGGGATAAATTTAAATAAAATCTTTCGACGTATTTTCATCCTTAGATATGGCCTGCTGGGTGCAAGTGGTTGCGGAAAGACCACCCTACTGTCTTGCATCGTGGGCCGAAGGCGGCTGAATTCCGGTGAGATTTGGGTACTGGGTGGCCGACCGGGTTCGAAAGGATCAGGTGTTCCTGGACCACGCGTAGGCTACATGCCGCAGGAAATAGCGTTGTACGGAGAGTTTTCCATCAGGGAGACGTTCATCTATTTCGGCTGGTGCGCCGGCATGTCTACGGAACAGGTCGACGAGAAGCTGGAATTTTTAATAAAGGCAAGTTTGTATCGCGATTCGAGATTAAATTTTCATATCACAAAATGAAATCTATTAATAAAACTAGTTCCGATTTACGTGAAGAAATATGACAAAGCAGTTTTAATGAATATGACCATAAACAACTTTTTTTGTCAAACAGTATAATTAATAAATCAACTGGAATCTGTTCATTTATGTAACATGCTGATTGCAATTATTTAATCGTTACGCAAAATTTAATGATTTACAATTTACTTGAATTCTTATAGAAAAATTTACGTTGCTCGTTTAAAACAGTTCTTGCAGTTGCCATCGGAGAACCGATTTGTGAAGAACTTGTCGGGTGGTCAGCAGAGGAGAGTATCCCTTGCTGCTGCTCTTCTAGCTGACCCGGAATTGTTGATCTTGGACGAACCCACCGTAGGAGTGGATCCCGTTCTGCGACAAAATATCTGGGACCATTTGGTTCAGGTGACGAAGCAAGGAAATAACACCATCATCATCACCACGCACTACATCGAAGAAACGAGACAGGCTAGCCTAATTGGTCTGATGAGGGGTGGTAAATTATTGGCTGAAGAATCGCCGTCGAGGTTGATGGAGATCCATAACGTCGACAGCCTGGAAAATGTATTTCTGAAGCTTAGCAAGCGACAGAATATGGGTCTTCGAAGAAGAAGCAGCATCCTCAGCAGTGTTACTGGTGTTCCTCCTGAAGTCGTACGTTTCTTATATTTTTTTTTTAATTATCCTTCATCGGCTTATACGATCTTTATGAATAAGTATGTTCTTTACATTAAATTGATTATGGTTTATTTTGCAGATTGCAGACGACGAAATGAGTGGTGAATTCGGCGATAATGTCAGCATTTCCAGCCGAAGGAAAAGCATTGTCATCAACGATGCAAGTGTAATTCTTTATTTATCTTTGTTCTCGACGTCGTTCATATTTTAAGAATTCATGGATATTGTATAATGGATAGGTCTCAGAATTGCCACCCGAAGAACAAGGTTCTTCGAAATTCAAAATGCTCGACCCTCAGCACATGAAGGCTCTTATATGGAAGAATTTCTTATGGATGTGGCGGAACGTTGGGTAAGTTAAAAATGTAATTATGGACGAGAAAATAATGTTTAACTGTGTGCCTGTTTTTTTTTCAGTATAATGTTATTTATCATCGGTCTCCCAGCCGTTCAGATCATTCTGTTCTGTCTCTCTATTGGCAAAGATCCAGTAGGTTTAAGGATAGCAATAGTGAACCATGAATTGAATAGTAGTAAGGAACCTTGCATACCATCGCTAGGCTGCGAATGGAGTCGATTGAGTTGTCGATTCTTGGAGGAATTAGAGAAACGATCGGTTGTACTACTACCATACGATGACGAGAATGAAGCTGTAAACGCAATTAAACGAGGCTGGGCTTGGGGTGCCATAACGTTTCCTGCAAATTACTCCGAATCACTTTCAGTTAGGATAGAAGATGGCAAGGACGCTGATGACTGGAGCATCGATTACTCTAACATGGACGTCGTTATGGACATGTCCAGTAAGCATACGCTCAAAATGCTATTGAATATTATAAGTAATTTTTTTTTATTCCTTTTTTCAGACCAGCAAATAGGGCAGCTTCTTCAAAGATCTTTTTATAATTCGTATCGGGACTTCGCTCAAGAAGTGGCAGAATCGTGTAATTACAGTCAGAAACTAGCAAGCATACCGTTGCACGTAAGTTGAAAAATTCCAGAAAATTTAATTCGACAAAGTGATTGTAAAGATTTAAAACAATTTTTTTTGTACAGTTTGAAACACCAATTTATGGTCCTCTGGAACCGAACTTCACAGACTTCGCCGCACCTGGTATTATCTTAACGTGAGTGTTTGGAAGCAAGTTTGTACGGACAATAAAAAGCTCGTGAATTAAAAACTCTGAACATGATTTTTATGTTGCAGAATAATCTTCTTCCTGTCGGTCGCGTTAACTTCTGGTGCCATGTTGCTGGAAAGGAACGAGGGTCTCCTCGAAAGAAGTTTAGTCGCCGGTAAATTGAGAAAAAATCATTATAAATGTGAAAACGATCCGATCGAATTATTTTCTAAATTAGTTGTGTCCGTTAACAGGTCTCACTGGAACAGAAATTCTTTTCGGACAAGTTATTACTCAATTTGTAGTGATGGTAGGCCAGACGTTGATAATCCTCATATTCGGATTCGCAATATTTAGAATCACATGCGAAGGCGATATCGGCTGGATCTGTACACTGGTCGTTCTTACTGGACTGTGCGGCATGTGTTTCGGTATGAGCGATTTCAATAGTCAGATAGAATATCGACTATGATTATTCGTATTTTAACCACGTCTTAATCTTTCTAGGAGTCGTTATCGCTTGCTTCTGCGACAACGAAAGGAGTGCTACTTACATGGCAATGGGTTCTTTCTTACCAATAGTTATGTTATGCGGAATAATCTGGCCTATCGAAGGGATGCATTACATATTGCGATATATCAGTTTCGTTCTGCCTCTTACAAAAAGCACGGAAGCCTTGAGAGTTATGCTGGCCAGAGGGTGGACGATCTCAAATCCTTCTGTTTATAATGGCTTCATTGCCACGTTCCTTTGGATAAGCGTTTTCATGACTCTTTCGATACTGTTACTTAAGTTCAAAAAAGGATAAAATCCTTTTTGTTTAAATTGTAGACTATAGACTAGGCAATTAGGTAGAATGTCAGAAATTTGTGTGCGTGAGGATATTTTACAAATCAAAATTAAAAAGCAATGGAAGAATGTACCGTACCTTATGTTTGTTCGCTCAACACTGGTGTTTTATAATTTATTACTTCTGTATCACCATGATACTTTTTGTACAATAAACAAATCACATAAATATACTTTCAGCGGAAACAATATAAAAGACATATTTTGTATAAAAAATATAAAAATTTTATTCAGAACGAAAGAGCAATCTCACACAATATGAAAACATTCTTATGTACATATATACATCTATAAATAAGTTTCAATTGACATATTATTATGGACCTCCTATTCCTACTGCTTCACCGGCTTTGAATACAAAAATGATTCGTGCAAAGTTTTGTGAATTCTTTCTGCTTTTTGTAATCCAATACCAGGACAAAGGGCTAGCTTATTTGGTCCTGCTTTTATTATTTCTTTCAATGTTCCGAATGTTGATAAGAGAGTTACGACATCTGTCTTATTCACCGATCTAATTGTTGTCAAGGCATTACTTAACTGAAAATAAATAAATAAATAGATAAATAATTGTGGTCTTTATACTGGAAAAGGATGTATGATTCATGTGTAGTTCTACATACTTTCTGATATGGTGCTGTATCACTGCGATCCATAATTGCATCAGGTGGTTTATTCTCATAAATCTTATAGGTTTCAATAATTTTGCCGGCATCCTCTGCATTCCATGCCAGCATTAATGTCAAATCAGCAAGAATACAAATCCTAGTTAAATGTTTCAGAGCGTGCTGAGGTTCAGGCACATCTACCTGTAATACAGCATAAAAATATGTACATAATGTAATCATATATTCTTATATACATTATTAAAATGGACCTGAACTAGGAGAACTCTCAAGTTGAATGCGCTTCCCAGTGTCTTTAAACGTTCATGGATATAATCAGGATTCAGTTGATGGTAACGTATCGATAAGAACAGGGCACAAGTAGTTTTACCCATAATGTAATCTGGTACAATTTCTGAATATTCCCAGAGAACATTTGATAAGAATTTCAGCAATGGATTTCCTTTCTGAAGATGATATGTACGTTTATAAGAAATAAATATAATGCTTCAACAAACAGAGAAACCGTACTTGTTTTAAACTAACTAACAGTGTATTACTGTATTTTGTAGAATCCTTAGATTTAGAGGGGCCGGGCAATTCTTCCTTAAAAAATTCTGACTTCTTCAGTTCGCTAAAGGCAGCTGTACGTAAAATAGTTTTAATTTTAACATAAATGCATTAGATCCTTACTGAAATGAATAACCTAAGAAACAACTCACAAGAAAAATCTGTCTTAGCTTGTTTAGGTGGAGAAACATTATCATCAGTTCCATCTGCCTTTTTTTCCATTTTTAATTATTTATTTACACCTTAGTACAAATTTTCTATTATTTATACAATTTTGTGTCTACACGCAATAATCTTTACAAATCTGGCGTAAGCACAAAAACATCTGTTTCCCACTGCGCGTTGCGCCGTGCGCAACACGACAATCTTTACAATCTTCATTCAGTGATTCAGTCGGCCGATTGCCGTTGCAAAGAAAAGTTGGTGTATACATCATTTTTTCTAACAGCTGTCAATTATTTCCTAAATCTAACGATCTACTGTGATCGTTAAATGCAGAAGAGATAAAAAAAATAATGTAGGACTGCAATTTATAACAAAATTATTAGTAACTGTTAAATTAATTAAGAAGACAAGAGTTACGCGGCTATACATGTATATCTCCAATGGTCCACGTATACTCATCGTTTAGTACTGCAATCTTATTTACATTGGAACACGATAAACAATCGTATAAATGGATTAATTGTTGATAAAAAACAGATAACAGTACATATTTTTCATTTTCCTATTGGTAACACTGATAAAACATAGCAGATGGATGACACATTAATTTGACATATACTTTTGTAGGATTTTTATAATCAACAGAATTGTTACACCGATTATAAGTTTTCGTCAGTATGTTACGATTGAACTGTCGTAAATGCTTGTGTGCATTTTAGAATTTACAGAAATAAGTTTACCGAAAATCTCCGTAGGCGTAATTGAAATTTGATACGTTCAAGGGGAAGCTAGCCTAAAATTTATAAATGAACAAGGAAAATTCAGGGACGAAGACAGGCAAACATTATCCTTGGAAGGATGTTGGCATATCAGACCCACGAGCTCGGTTAAAATCCATTGCCGATTATGCTTCCGCAGTAGAAATAGATCGTAACATTCCACCACAAAGGTATCAGATGTTGTTACATTTGGGATTAATTACATTTCATAAATCAATTGTTCCATATTATTAATTCTATGTTATTATTTAGATATTATCGTTCTGGAGTAGAAATGATCAGGCAGGCAGATATGTGCCTAAAAGATGATGATCTCGAGTACGCATATTTTTTGTACCTCAAGTTTATAACGTAAGATAAATTTATACACCTTCTATCTACACAGTGTAATTCATTATATCCGAATTTATATTCTTGTGTTCTCATAGGATTTTTGTTGAAAAAATAAGAAACCATCCTGATTTTAATGCAGCAAGATTGAAAGACAGAGAAGAGAATCAACAAACGTTGCGTAGAGTAATGCCTAAAGCTGAAGAGCTAAAGAAACAATTATTAGGACAATATCAAACAGAATTACATAAGTATTTAGAAGATGTCAAAGAGAGGGAGAAAAAAGAAAAGGAAAGACTGAAGCAGGAAGAGTTGGAAAGGTATTTCCCAAAATTGTTAAAATTAGTATGACCTGTCTTTGCTTATAATACTTATTTATATAATGTGCTTGTAGGTTAAGAGAAGAAGAAGAAAAAAGAACGAAATCCGCTGCTTTGGCAGCTGTTAAAGCAGCGAAAGTTGCTATGACTGCAAATATAATATCCCCTGATGATGCTAAACTTAAAAGGATTCCTAGTGCACCTCCTAAGACATTGACGAGCCCACCTACCGATTTACCTGCACAAACATCTTCTAAAGAAAAGTAATTATGAAATTAAAAAGTATATTCAATTCCTCACAGTAATTGAAAAAAGATGAAACAAACATTTTATCTCGTAGGAGACCTGCTGTAGATCGTTCAACAAAACCTGCGCAATGTGATAGTTTTACTTTAAGAGATATAGTATTACCAACTAAATTAATGCCCAGTTTCCTTATGCTGGCCTTCAGCAATACCATGGGCAACAAGGAAACTTGCGGCATACTAGCCGGGAAATTAGAAAGAAATAAATTACTAGTCACTCATTTATTAATTCCTGAACAAACTGGCTCGCCAGATTCCTGCGTGACACACAACGAGGAAGATATATTTGACTATCAGGATCAACATAATTTGATCACCCTGGGTTGGATACATGTAAGTAGCTTTTTTATTATTATACGAATGCGTGCGAACTATCGGACCGTCACTTCAAACGGAAATTGAATTCGGAGAATTTGGACATTGAAAGGATAATTGTACTTCGCAGACACATCCTACACAGACTGCATTTTTGTCTAGTGTCGATCTTCATACACATTGCGCATATCAACTTTTGATGGCTGAGGCAATCGCTATTGTTTGTGCTCCTAAACACGAAGAGTAAGTAGAAAGGAAATTCTCTGACAATTCTCTTTGAAATATATATTTTTTAACGCCGACCGTTTGTCTCCTCATTTCCATCAGGACAGGATATTTTATTTTAACACCGGAGTACGGACTTGAATTTATTGCTAATTGTAGAGAAACAGGTTTTCATCCGCATCCAACTGATCCTCCATTATACATGGTATTTATTCTGACACATATAATTCATATAAACCTATATTATATCTTTGACATTTATAAATATTGTTTTCAGAAAGCAAAGCATTGCAAATTGGATGTAACGGCGAGCATAAATGTTGTGGATTTGAGGAGAAAATCATGAAATCTATTTGATGTATAAGTATACATTTTCGCGCTACATGTATACTTGTTCATATATGTACAACTGCTGTGTAACAAGTTATATCTAGGGACACGGTAGCGTCCCGAAGGCAAGTTTGAATCTGAACATGGCAGATTGCCTGACGGGTCACCTCGTTCCTTATATATACACGTAAATTTGACATTCGAATTTTTGTTTTATTTATTATAATTAAATCTTTTGGCATTTCGTTCCTTATCGTACTTTTGGTCTGTCGTCGTTTTGTTACATAAGGAAAGGTCGTCAACTTCAGGTCCGGCAGTCTGTATAAATGTATTACGTTACGTAAATATGTTTCGTGAAGTATGATTCTGCATAAAAATCCGCAATTTAGTTATAACGTTAACAATTTATTTACCAAGGAAA